GAGTTTTTAAGAGCCATTGACTAGCTGTAAGATCCCTTCCTTGCTGAGAGCTCCTGGGTCAGGTCATAAATGCTGTGCCTCAGTGTCCCCAGTGTGCCCTCAGTGCCAGCGGCAGATCCTGTAATTGAGAGTTTCAGGGTGACAGGGTTTTAGCACAAGTGGCGTGGCTGGAGAAGAATGAAGTACCTGGTGCTGTGCCAGAGAATTAGGCAAATTCTACAGGAACCAGAGCTGAGACACTGAGTCAGAATTCACATCAGTATCAGAGGTGATAGTGTAGGAAACATACAACTTTTCCTTCAGGTGTGAGCTGGTGGTTAATTCCCACACCCACATCCACCCCAGCACACCCCTGTGCTTGTTAGAATCCTTGATGCCACCCAGGCCCTCCCACCTGCAAGTGGCTTCGCCAGATGGCTCTCTGCCACCCCCTGGTGGTCACTCCACACTTGCTGTAGAGACGCAGGGGCGTCCTCTGTCCCTGAGTGGATTTAGATTCCACTGCTCAGGCCCTGATCCCCTGACCCAGGGAAGGAATCACTCTTTTCTCCATGACCTCACCTGTCTCACACCAGGCATAAGGGGCTGAGAGCACCCATGGAAACATGAACAGGCTTGTTTAGAGGAAGAGATGACCAGTATGAGGTTTCCCACCTGAGGCATCACTGCACAGATCTCTGGGGTGGTGGGTGGTCATGCGTGGGGTTTGGAGACTTGGCACCAGGGGACAGAGAACTCCAGACTTCTTTTTACCGGTGTCCGCTGCTGATGCTGAGTCAGAAGAGGGCGGTGGTCATTACTACTCCAAAAATGGAGACAAGAGAACACTCACCCCACAAACATGGATTCAGACCCACTTCCATCTTGGGAAATCAGTGTGAACAGGACACACAGCCCCTGTATCAGAGCTTGCATCATGTGGGTGGGGCAGTGGAGTGGACACGCTTGTTTGGTGACACAGCAGACTGTCCCCAGCACCTTCTACCTGTATCTCGTCTTCCATATTCATTTCAAAGCAGGATGATTGTTATGCTCAGGTCCCTCTTGGCCAGGGTTGACACTGTGGCGGGAGTTGGTCCATGGATGTGTCAGTCGGCTGGGCTTCTTTCCCATGAACGTTTGCCTGTGAAGGAAAGAAACAGACTCGATTTGTGCAGCTGTTTTCCTCTTCACAATGGGTGTGACAGCTGGAGCTCCAGCAGCCATCCTGAGGTCTTGTCAACAAGAATGGAAGCAAAACCTCTGTAATAGGGATGGTAAATCAAAAAGTAGGTAAGATTTAGGAATTCATGAAATGATTGAGTATCTGGAGAACAGCCATGTCTCTCCAGACTTGTTGCATGAAAAAAAATAGGCCTCTGTCTGTTCATGCCTCTGATTGTCAAGTGTCTTTTGCATTTAAAAAAATTCCTATGAGCTTTAGTTGTACACAGTTTTCCACTTTGGGAGCTAATGAGGTTCAACACTGACTCATTTTGGAAAGCTTCACCAAGTCTTCAAAAACGACCCTGTTGATTATTGGAACAAGGGGGGACATACACCCAAATGTTAACTGTTGTTATGGTTATTTTTATTTTCTTTTTTATGCTTTTTATGTACTCTCTTGTCCATTTAATGTACTCTGCTCATTAATGTACTTCACTTAATGTGCTTCTACAACAAATATGTATTGCTTGTATAATCATAAAAAGCAACACATGCCATTAAAAAAGGAATTTATCATGGAAAAAAAATTCCTGACCAATTAGTGAAACACAAATTAATCAATCAATCAATCAAAACAACAGTGATAGAGAATCCTGCATTTTGGGTGATGTGCAGATAATTGAGATTGGCAAAAATGACACACAGGTACTTTGTGGAGAGAGGCTGCAGGAGGCCTCTCAGATGAGGTGACTGTGGAGCTGCTGTCAGGATGGGACGATGGAGTCAGTAAAAGGAAGTGTGTTTGAGGAACTCAGAGTCAGTGCCCCGTGGGGAAGAGCCTGGTTTGTCTGAGGATAAAAGACAGTGAGAAACTAAGGAGTTTATGAAAGAAAACCAGTTCAGTTCCAATGTGATGTAAATCTATAATATTAAGGGATGTGTTACCGGGATGTGCTGTCATGCTGAATACACACACCTGGCCCAGGAATCAGAGGAGCTGAAGGAGGGTCCTGAAGAGGGTGGAGCCATTGCAGTGTGGCCACTGCCCCGTGTCCACCAGCTGAGCCAGCAGATGAGCCACAAGGACCGTCACTCCACAAAGGCTGCTGCTTCCCCTTCCGTTTGCTCAGGAATTCACACAGGAACCTCTCTGTGATTCACCTTTTCCAGAAACACGCAGCCCCGAGAATTCTGAAAGCACATCACTCCTGCACCAAACTATTAACTTTGAAAAAATGTCATTCGACCTGAATTAGTTTTGAATTATGGACATGTTAGTTTATTATAACATGTTCTCCTTCCTCTCAAACTTTTGAGGTAACATTGTCATATATTTGCCCTTACTTACGTTATAAACCACAACATGCATTCTTATTGTGTTTTTGCCTTAAACAGTCATATGTTTTATAGAATTTGACATAATCAAAACTTTCTCTATTTATCCACATAGTTACCAGATCTGATGCCTTTCATTTCTGTGTAGATTCTCATTTCCTACTCTCTGAGGGGTGTCCTTTGTTATTTCTGGTACCAGGGTTGTGCAGGCGATGAATTCTTTAAGCTTTCGTAGGTCTCAGAAAGTTTTATTGTGCCTTGTTTTTGAAGGATATTTTAACAGGGTAAAGGGCTGAAGGTGGACAGATTATTTTCATTGTTGTTCTGTTTTTGCTTGTCGTACTCTGGAGGCATTGCTCCACTGTCTTCTTGTTTGTATGTTGTGAAGGGGAGATGTGCTCTGATCACTCTGGTTCCTCCTCTCTAGAAGGTGTCTCCTCTCTGACTGCTTTTATGATTGTCCTTCCACACCAGATTTAAGGAATTCGATTATGATGTGATTATGAGCTTCCCTCCCCTAAAGGGCCTGTTTCTCCTCCCAGGAGCCTGTCTCAGTGCCCAGGCAGCACAGTCTCTCCTGTA